CGGGAAGTTAAGGGAAGAAGCGAAGAACAAACTTGTGTGCCGGCTGGTCTAAAGCAAATGGCAAATAATGTAATAATATGACAGAAGAAAAGAAGTCCGATAATGCACAAAAAACCGCAACAACAAAAACTGACAAAAAGTGAATAAGAATAATGGAGGAAACAAGGGCGTGGCTGTGTAAATTGTGGTGACAACAATTCAATTTAACGCCCCACTGAGCACAGTTCGCGTTGAATTCTGGTCTTTGTTTTCACTTCATCTTTTTACAGCCGCTTTTTGCTTTGTGTTCTCTATTAAACTTAAATTAAATTTAATTGAATTGATTATATTTCCTTTTGACTGTTTGACTGCTGCCAACACACGAGCTTGCTTTTAATCTATTTAGGCTATGTTTAAAGCAACAGAGAAGCAAATATATATTTTATGTCCAATCTGGTGGCTGTCAAGTTTTAATATGACGGCCTACCGTGATTGATGGATAGATTGTTAAATGGCTGGCTTAAGAATCTGCAAAAAGTTTTCCTATCTTATTCCTGAGTTGCTTTCAATATGTTTTGTCTGCCATACTTTTGGGGCAAATTTGTGACATCAAGAACCACAGAAATATGAAAGGATTTTTGATAATACACATTTTACTTGCGTTATTGTTACAATTTTGGGAGAACATTTAAAAAAATTATTACAAGTAATATTTAAAATGATAATGATTAAAAAAATTGTTAAATATATTAAAATAAAAAATAATTGGTTTTAAATAACTCAATTATGTTAATTTTTTTCAATTCTTTACTTTAATATTCTTTTCATACGTACTTATATGTACCTACATTGTGCTGACAAAAAAATGAAAAATAAAATCACCGACATATGAAGAAATTTCATTCTATTAAATTACAATTCAATTGCCTTCAACGGCATGTGTTGTCATGATCCTGCTGCCGCTACCAGTGTGCCTCTTTCTGTTTTCGCTCCTTCTTTCCAAAACACACAGCCAAAAACAAAAAAAAACACACAAGGACACACACATAGAAGTCAAATTTAATAATCAGCTTGCCACCTAACAAATGTGGAAATGTTGATGGTGGAAAGGCTAGGAAGAAATGTTGAGAGAGAGGTGGAAAAATTGGGGGTTAAATTAGAAAGGGGGAAATGCGGTTGCTGCTGGCGGTGACATTTGAATTTTTGGCCATTTTAGCGCAAATTTCTTCATTTTTTTTTGCCATTTGTTTCTGTGCTACCCAAATCATGATTGTTTGGTTTGGTTCGGTGGGATTTCTTTTCTTTCTTTCCTTTTTTTTTGTGCTCTTTTGCCGAAAAATAACGTGACATGCATAAATAATTGACTTTTCACAAAATGCCCCATGGCAGCAGCAAGCAAACAAAGGCAATAGGAGCCAAAACAACAAACACGTGGAAGGAGCGAGCGGAAATGAAATATGGCGGAATGGTAAAAATGGCGAAATAGTGAATACCAAAATGGCGGCGGCCATATTGAATTTGTAACCTGGATGAAGCGGGACGGCGGTAGCGCATCCAAAATGCCATAAAATATTTATTTGCAATGCGAAGGCAGCTGCCACATGACGAAGGGAAACCAGATGAAGGAGAGACAAGAAGTGAGACGAAGAAAAACAAAAGCGGTATATTTTTAAATCAGACCGCAGGCAATGCCTTGCGGCATGGTTAAAAGACAGCGAAAAGCAAATATCCTTGCTGATTGACAATTAATCAACTAAATGGAACTGTTATTGTAACCATCTATATAAACAAAGAATCCATGCGGAATGTACACAGTATGATTTCATCTAAATGGACAAATCAATTTGCCAAAATGAAAGCCAAACAAATGGCAAACGGAGTAGAAAAAGGGAAAATACCAGCGGTTTACGAAGTGAACTCCAAACTAAAAGCATAAATATTTAGACAGAATCTATTTTATACAAATAAACTGACCAACCATTTGTTGGCTTAAGCTTTTACAACATTGTTGAATGCCCACTTAATAACAGATTTTAGGGTAGTTGCGACAAAGGAGATATTCAGCATTTTTTAAATGACCATCTGTCCGCTTCCACGCAAACCTGTCTTAGTCTCTCAGTTTTAAAGCTACCTACCTTTATTACACATTATGTTAAACTAACCCAAATGTTGTCTTTCTAATGTAGGTAGTATATAAGTCGAAAAAATCATATGAGAGCTAATATGAACAATCGGAATATTAAAGAACAAATTATAAATTCGCTTTTTTTTAATGTTCTTAAGATATAGTAATGGTTAAATATTTCTGAATTACTGTAATCATTTTGTTGAAATCGGGCGACTAACTCATACAGCATCAATGGGAATAACGAAGTGACCTATTTAGCTTTATAAAATAAGAAATATATGAATTATTTATTTAAATTTGTTTAATAAATGACTCATGAGAACACACCATAAATTCACGGTTTAAAAACATTTTCCATAATCCCCAAAATTTAAATGGGCAACCGGCGAGTCTGCCCCATATTTTAGTGCAGCTTTTTTTGTCGCAAAGTTTTTTTTGTCGGTCCCCCAAACCACCTAATTTTCTTTCCGCTTCTGGTTTTTATGGGCAATTTATAAACTCGGCTTCGCTGCGAAAGTGAGCGAACAAATACTTTTACTTCTTTTGTGCCATAATAATTTATAAGCCATTTTTACGGAACTGTTGCTGTTTTCTGCCACTTCTGGAAAAGCTCACATGGGCAGGAAGAGGGCTCTCTTTGGATGGTCAATTTGTTGGTGGCCATTCAGAATTATTAATGGACGGCTTTGTTCGTCTTTTTTGTGTTTTGGGAAGGGATAGGGAATAAATTAAATTTTGGTTAAAATGTTTTCAATGTAACTGCTTGCCTACAGTCCTGTAATTGCATATGGCGTGGTGACATATGCCAAGAATGTGACTGCAATTTAACCATAAAACTAGAACCGAGAAACGAACAACGAGCAACGAGACACGAACATTTTTGGGGGACGTTTTGTGAAGTCGACTGTACGAGAAGAACTTGGATGTCTGAGTATTGTCCTTTCCGTGTTTGTCCTGTTGTGTTGTGTACTTTATGACTTGTAGTCACTCTAGAGATCTTCATCTCCTCCGCCCACGTCGTCTAGCTCTTTTTTTGTATCATTTCAAAAGTTTTTGCAGTGAGATTGCAAGCAAACATTTTCAACAATGTTGTTCTTGTTGTTGTGGTAGCTGCCGTTGCTATTTGGGTTTTTAGCATGTGACGCCATTTGTGGCACAGTCTGCCGCCCCACAGTCCCATTTTCCCGTTTTTCACTTTTGAAAACTACGCACGTTGAAAGCAAAAGCAAAAGGAAGAACCCAAAAACCCAATAGCACTTTTCACCCACTCCTCAAGTAGAAATGGAACTAAAAGGGATCTAGAATTCTTGGCTCACACCCATACCTTAACTCCTTTCCTGTTTGAAAGTCTATCTGTGTGTGAGAGTGTGTAAGAAAGAGTTTTCCAGTGTTGAACTGGCATTGTTGCAGTTGCTGTTTCTATTGTTACTTGTTCATACCCTTTTAAAAAACATAAAAAAAACACATTCTCAACTTTTTGGGAAAATTTGAATTTATAGGTGTTTCAAAAACAAAAAATTAGAACGAAATTTGTAAAATAGTTCTTAGAATTTTAAGTCACCAAAAAATATTTAAATACTTTTCTAAAACTTTCTGTAATGGGTTCCTAAGAGTTTTCTATAAATTAAAAATAAAAAACCGTACAAATTGAATAGGTAATTTTCTTATAATAAAATGGTCAGCAATTTAGTGACTTTTCAATTCTATGAAAGACACTTTTCTAATACTTTAAGAAGCTTCTTCCAGGGAATTAACCAAGTCTCAAAGTTTGACCAACCTTTTACACTTATTTGCAGTACTAGTCAGAGGCTTCCGTTTTCATTTTTCCCACAACTTGAACGGGGAGTGGAAAATGTTCAAACCTTTTCCGTACCTCCCTTTTTTTCGCCTGGTTTTTCTTTGGTCTTGGGAAAAGGGAATTTTTTGTCTTCACTTCACCGCTTTGTTTACGACCAAATCCAAAACAATGGCATTTTTGCACATGAGCGCATTTAAGCCAAGTTCTTCTGGCTGTCGTCGTCGATGTTGTTGTTGCTCTTACACTTAAACTAAACTTTTCAGCTGCTGTTTTCTCGTGCTCTTTCCGTGTGACTAAGAGTTTTCCTGGTCTCGACTTGTGCTGCATATTTAATCCTTTTTTCCTGGTTCCCTCTGGCCAGAAGTGAATTATTACGGACATCTTTTCGCCTCAAACCGAAGGATATCTGGGCCAGCTGCCGAGGAAAGCGAGCAGTTTTGCTCCTTTGGAATTGGAATTGCCCGAATCATTCGACTCATTGGCTTACCATTAGTATTTTTTCTCTACGCTTTTCCCCAACTCATCTTTGTTCACCGTTCGCATTAGTAATACAAATTCCACGGGAAAAGTTCAAGAAACTGTATTAAAAATAGAGCAAGCTTGAGTATTACAAAAAAAAAAAACAAAAAAAACAAGCGATTGACTAAGGAAAAAAATGTGCTGGATTGGGCAAGTTGTGTTGCTCTTTATCGATTAAAAAGCGCTCTTTACAACACAAGTACATGTTTAAATAAACTTGTATAGGTCTTGTTTATTAAATAAAATAATGATTGGTTTGAGTAACCAAATTTGGAACTTACATTTTGTACAGTACAATACACTATAATATGACTATTTAATTTGTTACGATCCAACCAGTTATTTCACTCTTTTAAATGCATCGAAATAACGTAAAAGTTCAATAATATACATTCTCTTAAATGTATGCAAACAAATCAAATAAACCTTCAATAAATTTCATTAAACTGCATATTTCGAAATTTGTATACACCGTAAAGACTTAATTGAGTTTATGGACAACGAAATTGCATTCAAAATTGGAATATATAGAAAAAGCATTACAAAAAATTTTTTCAGAAATAAATATGAGCTTACCATCGATATAAATTGGCGGAACCGTAACGCATTTTTGCCTCAAAGTAGGTTCCGTTTGGTTGACTCCAATTGGTTATGGTCGATGCTGCAAAAAAAAATAAAGCAACCGAAATGGAAATATAAATAAATTGATTTATGACGGCCACACGAAATCAATAAATCAAATGCACGGTTAAGCAATAAAGCCAAAAAGCCGTCCCTTTAATAAATGTCCTGGCTGATAGGCTACATTTATTGAGCCTGTGGCTTAGTTACGAAGGGAACTATTAAGCCTTGGGTTAATAAATATATATCTTCTTAAAATGTGTTAAAATTGTTTAAATAAAAAAATAGCTGAGAAATCACTATAAGTTCCACTGTATATACTTTTATTCTGGTCATACTTTGCTTTTCGCAAAAAACCAAGGCCAAGGTTGCTATTTAGCAACACCATTTTCTATGTTTATTAACTTTATCGAGTCAGTAGAGCCAATATAAACACCAAACAGAGAGTAATTTAATAATACAAATAAAAATCTCCAGCTAATTCGCAGACAAAAACCGGGGAGAAAGGACGAAACAATTCAGGAACTAAATCAAAAAATAGAAAAACAACCAGAAGACATTATAAAATCAGCGAAGCCACAGCGGGGTCCCGAGATGAAAAGGGAAGAACTTCGGTAAAGGAACATTACTTCGAGTATACTTATGTCGTATTATCGACGATGATGGCAAATGACCCAAGCACGAATAACGGGCACGGACAAGAGAGGGGCGATGGTGTCTGTCAGCAATTTCATCAGCTTAAACTGATGACAGTTGAGAAATGTGCTTCCACTCTTCGCAAATTTTATTTCCATTTTTTCCTTGGCTGTTTTTTGATATTTTAAAAATACATAAAACCGTGGTTGACACTTGACGAAGGAAAAAAACCGGAAAAGGGTGCACAAAAAAAAACGTATCGTTATTATTTTTTACATTTTGTAAAAACAATAAAAATGACAAAGACATGAACAAACAGAGTTTGTTAAATAATTAATATCATATGTATATTGTGAGCGTTTATTTAAAATTATTAAAATGCAATTGGTTAGTATTGTTTCAACAAAAATTATAGTTATTATTAAGATAATTTTTTGTATTTGGTTTTTTAATTTATGTAGAACCATTTTGTTGGCGTTAATTAAATAAATTTAAAGGTGTCTTAATGCAATCTGAAATATTATAAAAGACAGTAACTAAATTTATTTATTCAATGGTGAATTAAACACTGTAATTATGTCAATCAATAAACTTCAATTGTTTAATAAACAATAAATTTTAATTCTTATTATTATTATTATTATTATTATTATACAAATAATGTTTTTATACCTATTTACATATGTTTATATTTTTCAAATATGCCAATTTTTTTTCTTTGTGTAAGCAATGCCGTGATCGTTGTTAACAAAAAATAAAAGTAGACAAGGTCAGCTGGCTGACGTTAAGCAAAGTGGGATGCGACCTGCCGAAAATCAAAAACTAAATCGAAACCGTTGCCGCTGGTGTCCTTTGGCATTCAGGCCGCAAAATGTCGGGCGTTTTGAACGACAAATCGGCCGCAAACATTGTCAAATATTGTCAGAGGTCTTGCTCACTCGAACCACCAGCACATCCTATACCACACCGCAAACGTGAAAGTTCTCTTTTCCGGAAAACTTTCCACACGTCAAACCAATTTGTTTCGCTTCGAAGGCAAATCCTGGGACAGGCGTTGTCCTCTGCATAATAAATATTGCCTTTAATTTAATAAATCTCCCACGAAAGTATTAAAGACTGACCTACAGCTTATGACGATGTTGGTGCTTGGATTTCCTGAGTAAACTTGTACAGCTAAAAACCTAGCCTTGGTTTACAAAAGAAAGGCAGACTTTTGGAGATGAAATTAAAGTCTATTCTAGTTAGAAAATGTCTGCACAAGTTAATCAAAATATAGAGGACAATTTATAGTCTACTATTTAAAAGTATTTTTATTTTAAATATTAAAGCTGGTTATTTAAATGTTGCTTTCAATCTAAAAACGAATTTTCTTCTACATATTTTATATGAGACACGCCATTGTAATTTTTAAATGTTAATATTTGTGTTCTATAGCTCCCTTAGTGAATATTTACTGTTCCCGCATGAATTTTGGATATCAATTAAATACAAAACACAAACACAAAGCGATGGCAGTAGGGGGAGGCCTCAAAATCTATTAGGATGCCAGCCAAAAAGTTTGGCCAATTCAGGCACGCACATTGATTAATTTTAAGACAATAATCATAAAGGAGGGAGGGTCTATCCAATCGCCCTCTCACTCTCTCACGCGCTACTTTGCTGTCTCTCTCGCACTCATCTTAATGTGTTTACGTGCCAGCTAAAATCTCTATAGCATACTTATCCGGGTTCTTGTTCATAGAGAACCCAAGCACGTCCTTTTTCCCCATCTATATCTTTCTCTTTCTTTCTAGTGAGCTTCTCTCTATTCCGGGTTAGTTAATTTCGCCGCCTCGCAGTCAGAAACTTTAAGTCGATGGAAAACTTAATCAAAGTTCCTTACGGCTCCCGTAGTTCCTGTTCTTCGCCCTGCAGCTGTAAAGTTTCTCTTTCGGTTCAGTTTGGTCTTTCAGCTAAAAGAGTTTTGGGCACGCAACACTACGGCCAATGGCTTCGTTAACTCGTTCGGGGCTTTCCGTTTCCAGTTCCTTTCCCCAGTTTTCACCTGGCCAAACGGCTTGCGTGTTTGGATGTTATTTATAATATGCTAAACTCGCTGCTTGCTTCTTCCTTGTGGCCTCGACTGCAGCTAACCGGAAGCCTTCAACTTGACCAAGGCGCCGGGGCGAAAAAATGAAGTACTTCAAGTTATCACACAGAGAAGAATTGGGAACATGTCTCCAAATTATATAGATGTAAAATTATACAAAAACAGAGTTTTATGTTGTGAATGAGTTTTATAATAAAAACGAAAATCCCAGATATGTTCCTTCTCATGCAGGATAATTATTCTATTAAGAGAATATATGTCTGATTGACACAACCCAAAAAATTATTAAGAATACCGATTTTCGTGCAGTGTTATAACACTTTTACTCCTTTTACCCAAACACTCTTCAATGGGTTTTGCCTTTGTGGCGTTAACCTTTTAATTGGATTTCGGTTTTGGCTTAGTTAATTGCGAAATGAGTTCAACATTCGCCATTATTGTTGTTGGTCGTGCAAAATATAAGCGCATAATTTCAACAATTACTTCCACTGACTGACCACTGAAAACTCTTATCCCCCGGCCCTCAGCTGATTAATAATTTGCATATTTCGTTAGAGTTTCAGCATTTCATTTTGTGTTTCCTTGAATAATTATCCTACAATTGAATCAGGTTGATGGATTCCGCTAGTTAAAGAAGTAGGTTTAAAACTTGTTTATCTTTATTATTCAATTCGAGGAAATACTGACTTAAATTGTAAAAACCGTCAATTTTTCTCCCTTCCATCGGAGGTCATTTGATCCCTTACCTCAGGAAATTCCAAAGAATCATTTCCATATTAGGTTCATTGAATTGGATTAAAAGGAAACCTAAAGAGGGCGAGGGATAACTTCTAGGAAAAAAAGTCAAGGGAATTCCGCACACAGCTTAACCGAAAAATTTCTCGACTAGCGAAATGCCAAATGCCACCCAAAGTCATACCCCCAAAACTCGGAATCTAACCTCTCATCACCCCTAGCAAATTCCCACCCACACCATCCATGTAAGCGCATTCAGGGCCATCAACAATTTATCACAGCAAACTGAACGAAATCTCATTTGCAAAAGCAGCCAAGAGGGTTGGCGAAAAAGTTTACCAATGTTCAGGGCTTGTCAAACTGTTCAACACGGGGCACGAAAAAATAAAGAGGAAAAACCCGACAAAAAATAAAACATGACCAGACGGAAGCTGCGACAAAGCAAATTTATGTTTTCGGGCAACAAAAACCAGGAAAGCGAAAGGAAATGCGTGAAAAAGGGTTCTGGGGAGTCTGCAAAGTTGAGGGAAATAAATAAGGAAATAATGTTTAACTTTCGCCGAGGCAAGGGGCAATCAATGCTACAAGCTCTGCCTAGGGAGATTTTTCATCTTCCCTTACCCCATTTATCAAAATCAGCCAGAGAAATAAAGAAATATGAGACTCGAGTTGAGCAATTTACAATGCTGATCCCAATATGATTGCTGAGCGCAAAGAACTAAAAACAAGAATGAGAAACAAAAAAAGTGTCCTTCGTTTCTTTGTTCTTTGGCATTGAAAAATGAAAAAAATTCACACAGCAGTCAAACAAAAAAAAACAAAGGAAAAGTCAACAAGCACCGATTAGATGCAGCCACTTTCTAGATATTAAAGCAATGTGTCACCATCACCACCACCAACCCAAAAAATGAATCCTCCTTTTGGCCAATGGCAAAATTGTTGCAGGGAAATTTACGCAAACATTTGGCTGTGTGGCAAACTCCAGACTTTATGGGTGGTGCCCGGGTGACTCAACTTGGTCTTTTCCAGGAGTAAGTGCCGACTCTTCTTTGTTTCAGTCTGGTTAATGGTGCACAAGGACTTTAAACTTTTTTATTGCCAAAGCTGCAAAGTTTTAGTCGCCGCTTCTTTTATGCGTCGTGTGAGTTCTACATTTTATTGGAGAATTATACAATTGAAAGATGGAATTGTGAGACAAAAGTTGGAGCAGTTCTGATAAAGCTGGAAAATGTGAATGAATGATTTTGATTACCATTGAAAATTGCATGGACCTTTAAATAAAATATTTACAAGATTTCTTTCCGAACTCATTTCAGCAAATGATAAATTTTGCGTTTTCTTGCAGGGTTTCCTCATTTTTTCGGAACGGTTTTTCTTTGTTGTCTGGCGCGTGGCATTAAGTTTTCGGTAGCACAGATTGGGGAATCTGTCAGACAATAGCTAGATATATAGTGGAAAGCGAATTCTTGTGTGGCATGTAAATAAGTTGCAGCACATGCGGACAATGCTGATGCAGGGATTTTGCCATCAAAGTTAACGAGCACACTAAATCCTTCGTCGCTTATAATTTATGGCCGTTG